CGGCCAGCCATCTGGGCCCGCCCCCCCCCCCTCCCCTCCTCCTGCCCACAGGCTTCCACCAGCAGATACCTGCTGTACGTCCCAAGCCACTTTCACAGCCCCAAAGGGATTCATTTCCCCAGAAATACGTGCAAAAGGGTGTTTCTGCTTTGCACCCAAACTTGTTTGTGCCAGAAGTTGCACGCTCTGGGGGAGGGGGGGGGGGGAAGGCATCGGTCACCCCGATAGCATTTTAAAATACCAGACTGGGAAGACAGATCTTGTCCAGGCTTAGGAAATCCCCGCTCAGCTCCATCGTTCCTTTATACCCCTATGGGTAGGGGTGAGCAGGAGACTCAGTCACTCAGAAGGTCTCTGGCCCAGCTCCTGTGCCAGCAGGGCAGATACAGTGGTGTGAACCCTTCTTTCTACTATGCTTTGAATTCCTCACTTTTAAATGTTGTATTATCAGGGTTGAATTATTTTTGGTTGCCTTTTTTTTTTCCTTTTTCCCCTTAAACCAACCATCTCTCTTTCCCCTGCACACAGATAAGCACATTAGGGTCTGTGCCCTTCCCAGCCCTCGAAAGGGACCAGTTTCCAAAACCCCAAAGGGAACGACGAACCCTCCAGTTTGGTGCTGGTGTGAGCCTGGGGCACAGCGCCACGGCTCTGCAGGCCCTGCTCGGATGCAGATGGGGAGCGTGTGCTGGGCACAGGGAGCCGCTGACGTTTCCAGAGAAAGAGCCGTGGCACATGGCCTTGCGGCTTTTCGTTCCCTGGAAGGGGAGTTCCTTGAAAACGTCCTCTTCTTATTACAGTGATTGTCCTTGATCTACATAGAGTAACTTTGCTCATATTGACTCCCATTGTCTCCCTTTAGCCAGAAAATAGACAATCCAATGGCTATTGTTCAAGCTGGAGATGTGCCAAGATTGGAAAGGGAGATAAGAAAATACGTGTTTGCAGCTGTTGTTTAGACTCTGGGCACATCCTGGACACACTGTGGGTCCCGGAGAAAATAAAAGTCCTTTCCCACACTGGGCTTAGCAGCAGTATCACTGTCCGACCAGGATGCACGGGCAGAGCTGCTGAGCTCTCCACTGTCACTCTGGAGGCTGAGCTCAGGTCCTGGTCTGGCCACGTGCTCAAGGTCTCTCTTAGTCAACGGATCTGCAGGCAGGAGCTGGGTTACTTCGCTTGGAGAGTCAAACGCAGTGGATGTGCTTCCAGTCCTCTCATTGTCCACAGAAACTGGTGTGACTTAACCCCACCAGCCTGATGGCCACGCAGGCAACGCCGAACTTGATTTGGAACCCTGAACTGAATTGATCCAGCTACGTTCAGTACCACAAAAGAAAAAGTAGGTAGTATAATCTATGGAGTTCCCATACGGCTGGATATGGGAACATCCTTCAAAGCCCCTCAGAGTAAACAGCACATTGGAAATGCCTTCCAGCACACTGACAGCGCCAAGGAAATAAAAATTCAGTATTTTTAAAGTGATACCAAAAGAATAAAAAAAAGCATCTTTTAGCAGGAAAGTGACAGGAAGCTTCTAGCGTGTTATCTTCACGTCTGAAAAATTAAACCAACTTATATCAAACTCAATAATGCATCCGTGTCCTGGGGGAATGGCAGGGGAAGATTTTGAAGAAGAAACTTCATTTTTGAAGGATTTTAATCCATGGCAAATACCCTGTTTCTGACACCTGATAAGTGTGAAGGGGCCCAGAAGTTAAATCCAACAAAAAACATAGGAAATTTCTTTGCCTTGATAGGAACGCATCAGCTCTAAGGAATTTGGCTTAGATAACACCTGTATGTCAGATAGTTGGCACGGTTCTGACAGTGAAACCCCCTGACTTTCTTGCCTTACTGATGTGAACAGTCTCACTGCCTTGGGGAATGGGATTAAAAAGTCTACAAAGAACAGCACGGAAGGTGAGAGTCTTTGGGAACCATACATGTTCAGACTGATACATGATGCTAGTCCCAAGATGACAGGGATAAGCAGAGCCATGAGCTGAAAGAGAAGCCTCTACCGAACAGAGTGAGCTATAGAAGCGTGTGATACATAACGTGTATTTCATTAGTTTGAGTTTAAAAAAAAGAAGTATTTAGCTCATCTGACCAAGCTGCTTAACTATCCATATAGTCATTAGTTAACCGTGCAAAAAACACAGGTTAGAGTTAGGCGATTTGGGATCTTTAAATTAATCCAACCCTGGTTCATTTTATTTAGAGGATAACACAGTACTAGGTCAACTAAAAAATAAAAATGTTACCATTGAGTAAACAATCAAGGCTTTTTGTTTCTCCCTTTTCATAAAATCCAACCATACTGAAGGCAATATGCTTTTAACAATGTATTAGCAATTGCTTAAAAAAAACTGTAAGCAGTAAATAATTTGTTAACACAGTATTAAAATTCACTGTGCTGAAGGCATGTTTAATCTGAAACGGCAGTTCAGTCAGCAGCAGTGGATAAAGTATAGGTCCCTCTTAGTCTGGTCTCTGCTTTCAGATGAGTTTTGAAACATCAGCACAGGACAAAAGGCTGTGAAAACATCCTGCACAGGACGTATGGTACGCGGAATATATGGAAAAGCAGTAACAAGTAACTGAACTCCACTTCGTAATGTTATGATCCATTAATTGTGCATTAACGACTGTTATGCACAACGAAGTATTTGTTGCTGTGGCTTCATACTGACCACCACCATTCCCTAGAAAGCTGACCACTTCCAAACTGGATCCTATGTCCTCAGCGGCAGTGAGCTTCCAAGTTGCCCAAAACAAGGACAGCTTCTTATAAGACAGCTTTTTGCTCTGACTCTTCCCGAGGGAGCAAAGGCAAGTTGACCCTTGGCTTCATATATTTTGATGCTATTTTGAGGCAACCACTCTGATAGTCGTCAGCTTTCTATAGGGCATTATTCTGTGGAGCAACTACAGAAACATTAATCACCACGAACTGTGGCAAAACCAGTCATTGCTGCAATCATAAACCTACCTTCCACACGTGGCAAATACACCAGATTGTAGCGATGGGGATGCATGGAAGAAAGTTGGTACTGTTCCGTTAATACGGACACTAGGGAAAATGGAGGGTCTAACAGCATGTCACAAATTGCTGCCTATCTCAAAAGTTAGGTCTTTAAAATAAGTTTTCACTCTCACTAATTCACCAGCTGATCTCTTTCTAACTTGTAAGGTAATTTACTAATGCTTCTGTGAGGAGACTAAACCAGCAAACACTGACTGAGTTTCTACTGATTAGCACCAGTCTCCAAAGCAGGCAAAACCCCAGAGGGAAAATATTGTTTGCCTTTTAGACAAAATAACTGAAGTAGGATAATCTCAACACTGGGAGAATCAGCAATTTCTAATTCTGTTATCCCTCAAGATATGTTGGTTTTGGGGAAATCACAGAGACTGGCTGATGAAAATGCATGTGTGCATCTGCTGGACTGAAATTAGGAGTTGCATGTGCAAATCAGGAACTTGCAAAAGGATCAGCCAACTACACACCGCATTATACACATGCGTCCACAAACACGTGCACAAGTGCGGCAAGGATATATTGTGCATTTTGACATAAGCCAAAGCATACCCACAGCTCTGAAAAATCAGTTCAAAAAAGTAAAGGATACAATTTCCCTACTCTCATGTATTTCAGTGCTAGTGCAAAGAGCTGTGTTCCAAATATTTGTTTTTAAATCTTTTACAAAATAAATATGAAGCAGCAAGCTAAAGCCAGATCTACCAGAAAGCCCAAGACCCTACTGCAGTGCTAATAGGAAGCCTAACAGGCTGTTAGGTACTGACGCAATTCTTCCTGAAGTCTCAATCTGCTCCCACCTAGCAGCTGTTTCAGTTGGTAGGAGTCTAACTTCCATAATGCGAATAACGAGGAGAAAGTTGCAGGAACTGTAAATGACAAACAGCCAGTTTCCTGCAATTCCAGCATGCATTTATCAAGTCATGCAAAAATTTACTGGATAAATAGCTATTTATAGGCTGTTGGCCAAGAAGGATCTGAACAAAGCAGCAATTTCAAAGTCAGGAGAAGCAAACAAACCGGGAAGGGACTGTCTTTTGTCTTGCAGCCATTACATTTTCCTCCTAAACAATGTAATGCATGAGAATTCACTGGCTGATGCAGCGCACTGTACACACCGCACCACCTACAACCACCAAATCAGCGCTCTCATCTGCCTGTAAAACAGTGTTTTGTAAACACAGCTAGTTAAAC